ACTCCTTCTCAGGTGTTGAGTACGGTCTTTCCGCTTTGTGCAACGTCCTGCTCGCGAAAGCTACCACCACATCTCGCCCCAAGTCATCCTTCTGCATCAAGGCCGCACCAAGGCCCAAGTCACAAGCGTCAGTGTGGATGGAGAATGGGCGTGTGAACTCCGGAAGGCACAGAATGGGTTCAGACGTAAGGCAGTTTTTCAAGTAATCCATCGAAGCCTGACAACTGTCGTCCCAGTTGAATGGAGTTTCCTTTCTTGTGAGTTTAAAAAGTGACTCAGCTTTTTGAGCATAATTTGGAATGAATCGCCTGTAATAGCTTGTGAGGCCGAGAAATCCTCTCACTTGTTTCACGTCCGTCGGCGTTCTGAACTCTGTGACCGCATCCACTTTTCTCGGATCAGGAGAAATACCATCCGGAGTGACCCTGTATCCTAGGAAGATGAGCTCACTCAAGCAGAACTGACACTTATTTAGCTTGAGAGTAAGACCAGCTGACTCAAGTCTAGAAAGGACTTCCCGGAGGTCTTCCAAGTGTTGTTCAAAGGTTGGGGATACGACAACAATATCATCCAAGTACACTGCACAGCACTTGTATACCAATCCAGCAAGGACATTGTTCATTACTCTCTGAAACGTGGCTGGGGCGTTACTAAGCCCAAAAGGAAGGACTTTGAATTGAAAAAGGCCACAGTGTGATGCGAATGCTGTCTTTGGCCTTGACTGTTCCTCTACCGACACCTGCCAGTACCCTCGAGCCAAATCAAAAGTAGTAAGAAATTTTCCACGAGCCAGGAAATCCAATGATTCGTCGACTCTGGGCAGTGGGTACGAATCCTTAAGTGTCAGGTGATTAAGGCCTCTATAGTCTACGCAAAACCTGTGGTCTCCACATGGCTTCTTGACAATTACCACAGGCGCAGCCCATGGGCTTGAAGATGGTTCGATGATGTTTTCTTCCAGCATCATCTGAATCTGATCTTCAATGATTTGTTTTTTAGCCGGTGAGCTCCGGTATGGCGGGAGGTGAACTGGTTTTGCATCACCCGTGTTGATTTCGTGCTCCCCCAATGAAGTGTGCCCCAAGTGTCCATCAAACAGGCTCCAAAAGTCTTTAAGAAGGTCCAACAATTTCCCTTTTTCTTCCCTTTTCAGACAAGCTCTCTCAACTTTCTCATCCAAAGCAGACTGGCAGACATTTAAGAACATTAAGCTCCCAAGCTCAGGTTCATCCAACCACTCACTCAAAACCTCCTGGGGTGTAGATTCCCCCAGTGTCACCGTCCTTGATGGGATGTGAATGCTGACTGACGCTCGCAGCATAAAATCCATCCCTAAGATGATTGGAGAGGATAGATCAGGGATAATGACAAACCGATGGTAGAACTTTTTTCCTTGGAGGCCAATGTTCAACCACACAACACCAGTCGGAGTGCAAGAAGCACCGTTGGCGAGCTGAATCGGGGGAAAAGTCCAAGGCTGAACCTTCAGAGAATGTCGCAAGTCATCAGAAATCATATTTGTACGAACAGCTGACAGTGAGGCACCGGTGTCCAGTGCTGCGTCTATGGCTTTATGACAGAAATTGACCTTGATCATAAACGGTGTATTCCAAAATGAAGGAGAAGTACGGTCCTCCACATGACCGAGGACAAGCGGCTCAGGTGGGGACATAAGACAAGGGTGAGGCGCATTTATCTTCTGGAGGGAGGATTGCCTCGGTGAAATGTCCTCCCCCCTTTGAAGTTTACCTTCTGCCGAACAGAATTGTGCTTTTGCTCCTCCCTGTCTTCGTATGTCCTAGCTTGAGTATCCTCCTCAGCGTTCTGTGGCTCAGTCGAGCCTGGACTTGTCACTTTATCAGTGGCTGGGAAAGACACAGTCTGTTGTGCAAAGTTACAGTTCGGACAGTTTCTTGAAGTGAAACCAGGCGCAGAACATCTGAAACAATAAGTCTCTTGCTTATTTTTGCTTTTCTGCAATACTGGAACATTTCGGCTGCCAGGGCCGAGAGCGGAGTGCAGCTCGTGTGCACACATCACGAGGTCTATGACTGAAGTAATTTGTGCGCCGTACAGAGCAACTCTGTAGCGCTCAAGTGCATGCTTGCAGATAAGATCAATCTGCTCCTGTTCTGGTGGAGGAGACTTTAGTTTCTTGAATTCAGACAACAAGTGTGCTACAAACGTAGGGAATGGTTCTCCTTGAGCTTGTACACAGTCAAGAATACCTCTCCAGACACGCTCTTGGTTATCCGCTGGAAGAAACACAGTCTTGAACAGGGTGCAGAACTGTGTCCAAGATGTTACATGTGCACTCAACACTGTAAACCACTTCCTGGGTTCTTTAGCTAAGAAACGTGGTAGTTCGAGCAAAATTTGAGCATCGCTGAGACCCAAAGAATTTCTGTAGGCATCCACGAGAGGAAGCCAGTCATCAGCTTGAATTTTCTCATCATTTCCAAACACTGGGGGCTCCAGTCTCGATTGATGCAAGACGGAGGCCAAAGTTCTGGTTGCATTATTCAAATCATAAGAGCTTTGAGCCAGGCCAAACGCATTTTCGGTTCTGGCGTTCATTTCTACTCCAAAGGACCGAGGCCCCTGTGTGTGACCAGCTGGTGCTTGAGCATGTGGAGTAGACGAAGCAACAGGCCTGACTTGTGAAGGCAACTGGTATGAAGCAGGTACATGCAAGTTTTCTGTGCAACGATCAATAATACCTCTTTGCAAATCAAGAGACTCACTCAGGCACCTCCGCAGCATTTCCACTTCCTCCTTCAACGACTCAACTTGCGTCTCCAGGCGCTCCCCTGACCCAGGCACTGCCACTGGCGCTCTCCGTCTGGCAGGAAACTCAAAGCATGCAGATAGGTCAAATAAATCAGTCTCGTCATCAACACGTCTGGCCATTATATCAAAATCAGTTTGTCAATATGAAACTCCAAACAATGAATTAGTAAAATATCATTCAACAAACAATTCCAACATGCATTAATTTCCTGTACGTGAGTAACAAAGCAAAGCAAAGGTAATAAACAATTTGATACCCTTTTCAAAAGAAGAAAGAGAAAAACATTTTTAAACAACCATATGCTTCATTTGTACTTTTTTTTTTTTTTTTTTAGTTCCTTCGATGAGTAACGTGTGAGCGTCGAGTAGTTATTACCCAAAGACAACTCACAGCAGAGGTTCAGGGAAAAACCCAGTGCAAAAAAAATCTCAACCAGTCAATTCAATTCAACCAGTTCAAAATTCAGTTCCAGCAGATGAACACAAAAGAACGTAGCAACCAGGCCTGAATCCCCGAAACAGTCAAAGTTCACAAACGGACTAATTTCCGATTACCTCAACGAACAATCCAACGTGCCCCAAATTCACAAAGATTGCGTCCATGACGACTTAAATCCACTGGAATGTAAAGAAATATCCTCTGCGTCAGCAACACAAAATGTCTGCCCCAGCTTCGTCGAGCGACTCGGGCCTTACACGCATACGCAGTGAAATTTTCCTCGTGTAAACTCACACATGACCGGCTGGATGTTCACAGCATTTTCGGAGTCGTCCGTCACAAACCGGCTCGTCGTCCGTGTCCTCGCATTAAATCCAAGGCCAGAGATAAAATGTTCGGGCGCCACTTGTAACGCGCTGCTTCAGGAAGAAGGAGAAGGATAGCTCACAACTGAAGATATTACGTGCGGAGGCCAGACAGACTCACGGAGGCGATATGCATCTCAACTCGTGCTTTATTCCACATCGAACTCGTGCAGCATAACTATCTGTCGCACGTCCTTCCGTCCACATCGTTACTTAACAAGCAAAAGTAAAATAATATAAAAGTCGGCATCAAACAGAAATTAGAATTACACACATGGGGTGTTTGAGGCACACGGCATATAGCACATACAATACCAAATAATGTCGACTCTTCAACAGGAGCGCGCAGCTCTTAAAGGGGCCACACCCTACCTTCACTCGTCACAGATTCTTAAAGGGGTCACACCATATTTCCACTCGTTACAGGGTGATCGGGGCACAAACTAACCCTAACGTTTAAATACTTCCACACATGCTAGCTAGCATGATACAACTTAGTGTATTTACTAGTTGCCATAGCAACAATAAAAAGAGAAAATATTGCGCCACAATTCAGAAATCTTTGGATGATATCACTGAACATTTATTTATCCATAGCAAAAGTGAATGTATTACTTAAGTTAATTTGTGCATCTCTATTTTTTGTGTTTATTTAAAATGAGAGAAATCTGATATAATTTTGATATGGTTGTTTAACGCTGATCTAACATTAGAACACACTCGCCGGGGTTAAACCCCATTGCTCAGGCGGGGCATGTTGTCACACTGCGCGTTATTAGAGTGATATTATATTCTATACTTTTATGGATTCTATTGAGAAAAAGGTGAGTAAAGACTGAGTGTCAATGTTCAGAAATGATTAATTATTATGATGTTTTGAACTATGCTGGATTTGTTGTCAAACTCAAAAATGTGTTTATTTTTGCCAAAGTTAATGATTGCATTTTATTGACACAATATTTTAGTTTGTCTTGTATATTTTTTGATTAGATCAGATAACATTTTAATCAGTCATATGGTCATGTTACAATGAACCCCACCTATGGGGCATGTTGTCACATTTCACTTCCATTCTTTCAGGGTAAATCAAAGAAAAAATAAACACTATTAATGGGGGGGGAAACACATAATTGAAATACTCTGAGCTCTAAGTAGGTTTCCACAAACTGATAAAGTCTGAAAAGGTTGTGCTCTCCACTATTATGGTTTATTTCAGACTGAACTGTCAAAATATTATAATGCTTTTAAACTCTTTCAGGTTTATTTGTAAACGATAGATCTGTTCTAGTTTTAGATCGAGGGGTTATTCTAGTGGGCTGTTCTATCAGTTGTGTGAAATTAGAATAGTTAAAAACTGTTTTAAGTTTTAAAACATTGTTCCCGGGCTCGGTCCGGTTCGGTCTTACCGTGGTAGCGCTTGTTGTCGTCTCTCGCGAGCTGCACGGCGATGCCCAGCCCGATCCCGGACGAGCAGCCGGTGATCAGCACCACTCGCTGGCCCTCCGTCGCCATGGTTTCCGCGGAGCTTTGAGAGAGCAGAAGATCTCATAAGATCAGGAGAACGCGAGCGCGCGCAGTCACGGGAACGCGCGGGATTCTGTCAGCTCACGGCCCGAGGGTGAGCGCCTTTATAAAGCACAATCACGAAAGACTTCTACTTATAAACACTATATCTACACTTTACTGAAGCAATCATGTGTGTGACCCTGGATCACACAACCACTCACGGGTAGGCCTATATTTTGTATGGGTCAAAATGATCGATTTTTCTTTTATGCCAAAAAAAATCATTAGGATATTAAGTAAAGATCATGCTACATGGAGATATTTTGTACATTTCTTACCGTAAATATATAAAACATTTATTTCCGTGAGTGAATGCAGCACAATCGGGCTTTTTTGCACCCTCAGATTCCAGATCTTCATATAGTTGTTTCTTGACCAAATATTATCCTTACAACACTCATCAATGAAAAGCTTATTTGTTCACCTTTCAGATGATGTATAAATCTCAATTTCAAAAATGGCCCCGTGACTGGATCATTAGAGCCGTAGATAGCGCGTTATCACTGGTGGTGTTGTTTAAAGCTCCAGTCCGTAACTTTTTTAAGTTAAAAATAATCCAAAATAATTATATTAAAAAAAACTTATTCTGCCAGTGGTCAAAACTATCTGCTTGCCATAGCTAGATTCAAAACGGTTAGCTTGTAATAATGATTTTAATTCCAGTGGTACTGGTGGGTTTCCGCGGGAAATTCGAGCATGTCTTTGCGTCATGACGTCACACCCGTACACATAAAGAAGGAGTTTCGGCTAGCCGGCTATACTGCGCGTGACGACATGTTTAGATGTATAGGCTTTTCTCGCAGCACTTTACATGATTAAACTTATGGCATCCAGAAAGATCCAAACAACAATCATCAGTGTCATCAACTGGAGATTCAGCAGTTATAAAACCCAAAAGACTTCGTACTTCGGATTTAAGGTGGCTAGAGAAAGAGAAAGAAACCGTCTCATGCGAACACAAGGATTTAAACATCGGCGGGGCTTTTGAAAAGTGCGTTAACTCCGTGTTTTGAAGGGGTTCAAAACGGAAGAAGAGACGGCTTTTTTTCTGCTTAACAAGTAAGACATTTCAATAGTTCAATCGTGTAACAGTACGTTTTCTTAATTCACACAGTTATGGAGTTTCCTTTGTTGTGCCTTTCTCGTTTTGCTATTATGGAGAATATGAATTCTGAACTACACAGGTAATCATAAAACACATTATATTTAACATTAGTCACGCAATGCTGATGTTGTTAACATGAACAATTTGAGAACAAAGTAGGCTATAATTTGCACGGTTGCTGTAAATCGCGTTGATTAAATCTAACGAAGCTTATCATGTCGAATGCTTTTTCCCCCTTAGTTGGTCAGAACAAAAATGGATGTTACTTACTTGTTCAGAAGACATTTTCTTATGAAAATTCTTATGTTGGTCAAACTTTCAAAAAGTGAATCTGTGATCTGTATCAACTACCCCGTGTCAGAGGGGTATGCAGCAACAAGTGTGCCATGTAATAAGTGAGTAGGGACGAGTGAGAGCTAACAGATAAAAGTGCAAAATTGTCATTTATTAATACAATTAAACTATCAACATGACATCATGACTTTGCGTAAACATACACGCCACTTTCAATTCAAGTGGCGTGTTATCTATACGCATTTTGAGGTATCCGCGTGTATGTCCACGCCGAAATCTTTTGCGTGTATGTCTACGCCATTAAATGTCCGAGTGATTCCGCGTGTATGTGTACGCCGTTAAATGTCCGAGTGATTCCGCGTGTATGTGTACGCCGTTAAATGTCCGAGCGAAACGAAGCAAAATCTATATCTACATCTGTGGAGCGATATTTCTTTTCCTAGGATGGTAGGAGAAGACTCATAAATGGTATTAACCCCAGTGACGGGTAGGTTTAGGGACGGGGTTGGGGTAGGTCATATATTTATATATACATAATACAGTAATATAACGTTAAGTCAAAGGCGTTGATAAACACGCTGAAAAGCGATTATGCGTGTTGATAGCACGCCAAAAATGAAAATACGAATTGGCGTGTCATACATACGCCATTTCATGAGATCAGTCTGAAACTATAGCTACTCCAGCGTGATGAACCCCCCTAAAGAAACTATAAGCTGAATTGGAACAGCAATACCAGTGTTTCTCACAGGATCTTCGGTAAAACTATAGTAGGTGGATCTCTGTTTCTCTAGGGGGGTTCGGGGGCATGCCCCCCCGTAAGAAAATTTTGTGTTCTTTAATGTTAAATTCAGCAGTCTGGTGCACTTTGAGAGTTCAAAATTAAAAGCTCGAACCCATATTCAGGGTGCAAATTAAACAAAGAAAAATTCAAACCTCTT